CCTAATACTTTCTCCATCCATCATACGCGTTTATTCCAGCTACTGTAGCAGATGTTAAATTACAGGTTCCTTATTTCTTTCCTTTCACTATATTGGAAGCATAACTATGGATAAATTTACTCACATATACAGAAGTTAATCTAGTCTATGTTATAGAAAGGCGGGTTTATCGTATTAAACACAATAGAGATATGCCAGATAGGCAGATTTCTAGTATACTAAGGTGTTGCAAAATGTCTTGAATTGCATGATTTTGAGAAAGGAAGGATTACATGCTGTTGAAGACTCGAAAACTAATATGCTTGTTCACTGTATAAACCATTTTATGGGTTTATGAACTTAGCAGTACAACCTCTGATTAATCAACTCATTACAGTTGGCCATTAGGATTGGAAAAAGTAAAATAAATTACATTTATAACAAACTCATATTCACTCTATTGCATCCATTGTGGCCACATATGAACAAGTTCTATGTATGAATTTTGTACAGCGTAGTTTCTGTGAATGTGAGTAATTAGTTGTACTCCACTACTGGCACAATTTGAATATTAATTCCTTCAGGGTTTTATTCTTGAAAAACAGAATTATGCAATCATAACCCAGCAAAGCCCGTCATCACTGACATTTTAAAGACTAACTGCGAATTTTGGGGAAGAAAAGACCCATTTTGCTTACTTCGAAAATCATGATTGGATAAATATGGGAAGAGATACGTGAACAATCCGATCATGGCTGAGTTTTAACAGCTGTGAATGATTATGGTAGCGGTGTTACATTCTGAGCATCGTGTATGAAACCTATTTGAAACGTGTTGGCATCTCTTAATGGTCAAGTATATCAGAAGAATTTAACCAAATTACTGACTTGTATTGATACCATTTGCAACCAGTGGGGTCCATATATTTCATCATGTTGAGAAATTGTATGTTTTTGCCTACTACAGCATTCAGTGAAAAGAAATAATCAAACCAAAACGAATGAAATCAGTTGTTTTATGTGTAAGATACACAGTAATTATCTCCATCATCAGTCAACTTCAGCCTGAGAATCCATAAGTCTCTTCCACACCTTTATGTTTAGCATACACCTTGGTAGTTCAGTCCAGTGATGTAACATAATTAATTTTTGGTCGATTTCTCTACTTTTGGTTCGAAGAAAAGTAACTCCAATAGAGGTTCTTGATTAAGCCTGAAGGTCCTGCTAACTCTAGTATCTTTATTTTAGTAGAAAGTTTAGACACTTTGCCATAAGGATGTTAATTAGAAATATATTATCATTTACTTAGCATTTAAAGTAGATGAAATTAAGTTTATTTTCTAGTTTCTTGGCCAATGTCCAATTCTCTGCTCAATACATCAAAATCGATTCAACTGTACTTTTAAACATTTCGGTATTCCCTTTCTTTACAAGTTCTCTACATTTTCAAATCCTTTGCGTTTTGTTACAGTTATCCAAGACTGACTTATCCCGTTTTAACATCTTTCCTGTAGTTCTTATCCTTGATCCTAGTTCCATAAAACCAATCTCTTCAGTCATCCCATTAATGTTGTAATGTTTTCAAATCTCTATCAGTACACTCCATATTGCTGATATTACATTTTGTTTTGTGGGTATTTAAATGAAGGCTGACATGTGCAACTTTTATTTCCACCTTGTTCATTAGCTATTGTCCTTCATCTATGAATCACAACAAAGTCCTATATCATCGGCAAACTCAAGGTCTGTAAAAGTTTTTGCATGATACCTTTTACTTTGATTTGATAGCAAAACCATACTTGCAGTTTTCAAAACCTAATTCAAATTAATAATTTATTAATTCATTTATTATTGTTCTGAATTAGATTGTGAGAATGGCAGCTGACTTTGAAAATTTCAAGCATGGTTTTTACTATCAAATCAAAGTAAAAGATATTCCGCCGAAACTTTTACAGACTTCGACTTTGCCGACTTCCGTGACTGATATAGCTCTTATTATCTTACTT